CCTCTTTAGCATTCTCCATCCTATAAGGGCAATGCCTACATCCATTGCCACAACACTCACCCCTATACAAATGATGGCTAACTGTAAATACAGTAAAACGAGTAAAGGGATCTTTATACGTCAGTTTTCGTTCCTCAATCGCCTTCAAATGCGCCATATAAATGGTACGTTCTTTTTTGGTGAGTCCCTCATAGCTATTCCATGAAACCTTGGCCAGGTTCATAGATGCTTCAAACAGTACATAATTAGCAATCATTTCGCCGTTTTTGTAGGGAATGAGTTCAAATCCTGTTTTTCCTTCGCCTTTTGGCTTGTAGTATATTGGAGCAGCGTCCTCTTTCTTTAGTGTAATCTCGCCCTGGGGTGTAGAAACAACAATGTCGCTTTCCTTGATGGTTACATCCGTACTCATGTGCATGCGAGAGCTAAAAGGGCTCAATGTGGATTTGTTTAGACCTTCATACAACAAACCAATTTTGAGACAAAACTATGGCATGTATGTGAACTGAACATATCTAATCCTTTTGACTGAAAAAAAGCGAACAGGGCATGACTATCACTGAATTAGTCATCAAAGAGAGATTTTCCTTGGAGATTTTTGGAAATCTCACTACTTTAATACATTTACAAAGCCTCTGTTTGATTCCCTTATAATACATAGGTTGCCAATTTAATTAGGATACAAGAAAAAAGACTTGAGCTCACGCTTGTCAAAGAAAAATGCTGAATTTCGACATCTGCAAACACAGATGCACACTGCCTCAAATTATGTACATTTTAGTAAAAGAACATGATGAATTTGTGTTTCTTCCTGGAGGTGGGAGGAGTACATACTCCTCCCCCCTCCCCTTCTATACCGGTATATACCGCTATAGAAGGTATCGAAGCAAACTTCCTACAGACGGTATGCAGATCAATGAGCTTTCTACCACCACATACTGGAGATCTCTTAGAAATCATTGATTTACATTAATCGTCGTCAATGTCTAGTTTAAAAAGGAGAGACCTTGCTAATGCCCTCTATAAAATGCATTACGGATTACAAAACATCAATTTATAAGTACCTAAACATGAGCTATTGAAAGAAAGGTAATTGTAGGTTGAGGTAAAGACCTAGAATTCATAAAGAATGAGAAAAGGAAATCGAAAAAAAAAGAATTAACTCTCATTTACTCACACAGGTTGAGGCCACCATCGACCTGAAGCGTAGTTGACAGATACGACTAAAGGAGAATAAACATTTTTTAATATTCCAGCTGCTAGGGTATTACATCGTGACAGCACACCAGAAAGGCTCATACCTGTAAATAAGAATTCATCATCGATTACGACTTCAAGCTAGGTAGTTTTATTTTCAAAAACAAAACATTATTGGTCTCTTCATGTGAGTTGTTTCAATGAAAAAGCAAATAGAAGAGAAACACGACAAAACAACGGAAACAGAAGGACGAAATGCGGCCAGCGCTGAAGTAGCGCCAGCTTTTACTTGCGCGATTTATGCGCGCTAGCGCAAATCTGGCTGCCTCGTTTGCATTTGAGATGTTGGCTTTGAAGTTTATAATATGTGTAGAATTCTACTCATTTCGGATGTTTTCCTTTTCAATTCAAATTGTGCGTCCAGGTGTGATTAATTGCACTGCACTTACAGTTTTATGGTCTCTTTATGTGCTTTTTCAAAAACAAATCCTGTTGTCGAACACGGTACCGGTAAATAACTACTTTTTGA